AGCACGTGTTAATTCAATAACTTCCAAATTTTTGAACTTGAATTAAGTCTTGTACTTGAAGCAATTGTTCAAGAGACCACTTTCATAAATTTAGCCACAAAATCTGAATTTGTCTCAATTAACAGTTTTTAATCACAAATTATTTTAATCCCGTACAAAAAAGAAACATTTCATCCCATTATATCAGTTTTTCTTCACATAACATCAAAATTTTGGGGTCTACCCAAACAGAATCAGAAAAAACAATTGTGATTGATGGCGGTAAGTTTACTAAGAAACAAGAAACAAAGAAATGAAACTTTCACTGGAATGTAGGAGCCTCATAAATGCAAAACAATAGCAATAGCCCGAGATAAAGATCTCATTTCCTGTAGAAATGAACATAAGCTATGAATACTTTCTGTCGTTCAGACGCAAAGTTTTTCGTGCAGAAAAGGAAACAGAAACATTCAGCAATTACCAGTCACTAGCAGCTTTATAGCAAAATGTGTGCAATCTGTGTCCATACAAAAAGCCTCAATTAGCTCTTCCTTGCCGGTCGGCGATTAACCGGGGCCTCAATGGGCAGAAAAAAATTGAGAAACCCACAGTGCGTCCAACTGTCGACCGACATTTTGAGATAACGAAGCAGCAAAAACATTTTTGCGTCTTCGACAGCGGCACTGAAGATATTGAAATAGTGCTAATTTTTGGAGATCGCGACAATATCTAGAATTTGATACTACATCAAGATGTTTGGCTCCTTGACGGAACCTTCAAAGGTTGCCCTTTTCAGTTTTATTAAGTTTATACTATCCACAATTATTTCTTTGGATTATACTACCCTGCATTTGGGCACTGTTTTCAATTAAACGAGACCATACACAATAAGTTAGCGAAGCGCTTGTCAGCGATCACCTAAACACCAAGCCTCGCAGCTTTCTCCTCAATTTTGAACGAGCAGCAATTAATGCTTTCGCCAGTCATCAAATAGAAGCGTTGCTCATGGTTTTTTTTGTGTATGTCCAGCGTTCAACCGAAAAACAAACGAAAAGGGATTAAAACCACTATAAAACTAGTCACGAACTCAATTTGTCGTTTCGCGTAATTCCAGCTAAAAGTTTTGTACCAGTTGAAACGGTCACTGCCGTTTTCGCCTTGGTTATAAAGTAGATCAAAAATTATCTGACAAGTTCGATCTCGATGGAAACATCACCAGAAAACTTGATGAGGGAGCCTCATTCTTCCAAGGCAACTACATCAAAAAATAAACCATCAGAAGAAAATCTCGTGACCCTGTATTTCCATTAAACTCTCGGAATCTTTCCGCAGAAACAGCTGCTGGATTAATCAGGACAAGAAATGCTGTAGAAGGCTGCCATCTTGGCGTTGTTTTCTTTAATAGAAGCCCTTCAACTATTCACAGGGTTCTGAAGCAAACCAAGTAGGATTGTACAAATCAAAATCCAGTGTATTGAATGCAGTGGTGGAAACAGCGACCACAGTCGCAAGAAATACTGAGAATACTTTCAGAAAAGGAAAAAACAATGGCAACAATTTTAACAAAGTTTCCATTTGTATCCTCTTGCGCAATTAAGTTATCCCTAATTCTGTTTAATTTATCAAGTTTTGTGAATGTTCTATATAAAGTTTAATTGATCTTCTAAGAAACATTTTGAACTTACTGTTTCCGTAGAGGGCTGATATTTTGGGAGGTTATAGAGGTCAAAATCTGAAGATTTTTTTCTTTCACTCAGCGCCCAGATCCTGGCATGTCTACCCTTTGTTTTTGTGATCAACTAGTCAAACATTCAGTAACTTTTGAATTTCATTCAAATTTTGATTTCTGGGCGACTTGATCTGTCGAACTCTCAATTTTAAAACACATGCGTTATCGACTAAGCTATATCGACTTTTGATCCTTTAAAAATAAGTGATGCGACTTTTGCTCCTTTAAAAACAATCGCAACGCTTTTCTTTCACAAAATTGGGTTAAAGTTTCTGTTCGTTAATATTTTGAACTCATTTATATTTTGAACAGGCAAACAACTTTTTTTGTTTTGATATTTTATTCACGTGCGGCAATTAATCTTTGGTCAATTTTAATGGTTCTTCGATTTGTTCGGAAATGTTCTGTTACGGGTTCTTTGACAAGATGGGATTAGTTTCAATTGTTTTCTAGGGTAGAATGGTATTGGGTGGGTTGGTATAGGGTAGTTTGGACTAGGGTAAAAAGTCGTGGATCCTATTTTACATTTAACCATTAAGGATCCCAGTTTCTCCCCGCTTTCATTTAGATCATATTTTAAACTCTTAAAAAAATTCTGAATGTCAGGAAAAGCCGATCAAATTAGATTTCCAACTCCTTATCCAAGAATGATGACTGCCTTGTTTTAGCTGAAGTTTCAAGATAAATTGAAGAGAACGAAAAAGAAACGAACATATTTTTTTGCTACAGAGCGCAAGATTATACATCTGATTAAATGTGCATAGAAAAGCATTCACCATGAATTTATAGATATGTTACAATACATCAAACTGCAAGTAGAAAAATCTAGAAGCTTTTTGAAGACATTCAAAGTTGCATCAAAAATTGAATGTTTCCCTCCAACATTAGACTGAAGTTAAATCATTTTTTTTCTGCCAAAATATATAATACAATTGTAGTTAGGATGCTAGTTTCTTTCAATTTGTTGTCGTACGATTTTGGACCAAACTTTCACGATCTGACGCCTGCGAGGGAGGGGGGGGCTAAAAGAAAATTCCTCGTTTTCGTAATCAGGTTCAATTCATTAGTCTTTTATCTGTTTTGAATTTAAAGATAAAAAATTTACTTGAGCATAAGGAGTGGGAACCTTTTGCTTCTAGGAAATCGGATCGTCGAACAAATCACAATTTTTAAGACCATCGAAATAGAATTTTGCTCGTTCAAACTTATGACCCTTCATCTGATGATTGAAGAATTTATCCATATTTTGAGTTTTTGTCCATTTTTATGGTAAATTGACGATATCTGCTTGGTAAGTCTTCACCGACAAGCATATTATTAACACTATTCACAGAAAACCGCATAAAAAGCTTGTATAAAACTGCCGCCTAGCATTCCACAAAAATTGCGCATTCCGAGTAGCTGGATGGTGTCACTTTTCATTGGCCAGAAGGTTCGGCGACGGCGATGGCGACAATGGTGTAAGCCGTGGGGTCGATGTCGCCACCCGAAGCCTATTGGGCCTGTCGCGGCGCACCATCATGACCCCGTTGTCGTTTTGATTCGGACGTTGTTGCTTCGTGAGCAGTTTCTTGGCCGCGTCTTTCAGCTTTGTCTGGGAGAAACAGTGTATGAAAGAGCTGAAGCAAGCGGCTCCAATTACAGCCAGGAGAACAAACTGCTTAAAAAGCAGGGCGGGTATTGTATGACCGACTAGTAGTGACTGCGGCCCATTCTTAGATATCATGACCTAATGAGCTGTGAAGTAAAATCTGATGAACTCAAAAAAAGACTTTTTCTGTTTCATTCACTAAAAAAATGTTTCCATTGCCTCAACTAAAAAAATTTTGTTTGATTCGAAACAATCCTGCCAAAATTTTAACCAAGAATGATAATCCGAATAAATTTTGAGTCTGCTTCTAGAAATAAATATCTAACGAGTCAGAAAAGCAATTCTTTGGTAATAAAAATTTTTGTAAAATGAAGAAAAACGCTCAGCCAGTTATAAATTACCGACTCAATTTGGTCACTTTTAAAGTCCTATTTTTGATAAATTAAATCGCTTAAAGCAAAATTGATTTTCTTATTATTGTATTTCACAGCTCTTATGTGTTGACCATCAATGCGAGGATGTATCGCAGTGCTTGGGGTACGAATGCGAACGTGACCCGAATGGCATAGCCTTTTAGGATGGCCTTTTCCTTCTGCTGATTGCGCACCAGCTGTTCCACCTGCAGACTTTGCTGGGAGGGGTTGATGTCTTTGTCCCTCAGAAATCTGTTTCTCTCCATGCTGTAAAATCAACAAACAATTAGCGCGGGCTCCCCAAAATTAGATTAGAGGTGATTGAAAACTGCTAGTTAGGTCAATTTGGGTTAATTAACCCACGATATTTTGCGTTCATATAACACGCGTAAGGCGACAGATGAATTCGTTTCAAATTAAGTTGAAGCAAGTCATTTGGTCGATTTATAAGAATACGAGACGGTGAATACCTCCCTTTGTAGTGTATATTAGCGTGTGGGAGGGTAAACTGATGAAAATTGTGATTTGTTTTCTCGATAATTTCAAGTTGAGTCAAAGATCTAGATATCAACCTCAAGTTCATTAGTAAAATTTATCAACAGTTAATATTTTTTTTATTTCAAGTTTCCTCAGGGATTGGAAGGTATAGCAAAAAAACAATAGTACAGCTCATTGACATGTTAAAAAATAGTCGAACACAATGTCAAACGCAGAATCGAGACTAAGTCGAACAAAAATCAAAATTTAATCAAGTAGGGTCAAAACAACTTTAAAAAAGAACACGACTGCTCGTAGATCAGGGCGAAGCCTTGAATGTTCCCACTGATTTTAAGGTCCATTGAGATTTAATAACATGAAAAAAATAAATGCAAAAATGAAGATAAAAAATTTTTTTTGTTAAGTTTGAGATTTTTTGTGAAAACATCCCTACCCCCACACGCCATATAAAATTCAAATTGATAAATTTCGCTCCAACAAATCAATTATGGCAAATAAGCTTCGTTGAACAACTTTGAACGATTTCTAAGACGTATTGAATCTTCGCTTACGCGTTAATAGCGCGAAATACATCGCGCGTTAATTGTCCCTAATTGGCCAAAATGGCAATCTTCAAACCCCCATAATTTAACAAAAAATTATCTCAAGTGAAATATTCTTTCCAATTTAAGCTCAGGACAGCAATACCTTTTAATGATATGCATAAAAAACGTCAAAAATTGCTAGTTAAAAAGTCGAAGTTTGTCTGAAGAAAATAAACCCACTCCAAGCACAAATATTCCGTTGTTTTTATCTAACGCAGAGATCTTAGACGAAGGTCAAAGAAGCAACATTTAACCAACAAAACACCATACAATTTTCATTTTGTAACAATAATTAGGGTTAAATGCAACAAGTTTTGATTTTTCAGACACAAAAAAAATTCAAATACTGTCAAAGCAAGTGTTTTCATGTTTTGGAAACTTTACAAGAACAACAGAGTTGTTCAGTTTTATATTTGCGGAAGTTAAATAAACTTTAAGCTTCTGCAGACTTATTCTGTGGAAACGTAGCTTTTTTGGGTCATTTCGATAGAAAAATGTAGCATGCGTTGATCGCACAAGCTCGAAGTGATTTCATACTGCCATTTTGTTTCTAGGTCAAATTTCGGATCTACTTAACAATTTTCCCCCCTATGGTACCTAATTAACAATTTCCCCCATTTTTGTAATAGGGGGGGGGGTGGAGGAATTGTTAAAGATCCCAAATTTCGGATGATCGAAACCTTTAATTTTTCCATAGTTGAATGTGTTTTTTTGATAAAAAAATTCTTTGGTCGATTAAGGTCACAATTATTTTCCTCGGCAAACTTTACTGCAAACTGTTTGAAATTTTTTCTACTAAAATTTTTTGTATCAAGGCGAAAATAAAGTATATGCTGTAGTTTTTGCATTTGACAAAAAGGTTCGAAAAAAAGTTTGAAAAAAAGAAAGCAGTTGGTATTTTTTTGGAAAAAAGTTTGAAAAAAAAGAAAGCAGTTTGAAATTTTTTGGTTGAAAATAATTTCACCACGCATTAATGCATAAAGTTTTGTGTTTTGCTCATACCAAAGTATCAAATAAACCAAGTAGAAAACCTCAATTCAACTTAAAAAGATTTCTAAGATTGTTGAAATTTCCGTTTACGCGTTGATAGAATGAACTATATCGCGCGTTTTTTTAATCGAAAAATGGCAGTCTTTAAATACCCAAATCTTTATGAAAAATGACCATAAATGATTTTTTTTTTCAAATTTAACCTGAAGACAAATTTTTTTGAATGTTATATTATAAATAAGCTCCTTCAAAACTTTTCTGGAGAAAAAAATTACCCTGACTATGAGAATACTATGAGAAAATTACCCTGAGTGTGAATTTTCCCTGACTATATTCGAAAGTCGGAACAACAATCAATTAATATCTTTCTATCAGTTATCCTATAATTCTAATGAGACAAAGAAATAAGAGTAGCATTGAGACCAGTATTACACAAAAGTAATTGCACGAAACTGTCCAGCCAAAATTAGATGGTGCAATAAACAGGCGGTGTACAGTGCTGGTTTAAATTATCCGGACGAAACGAACAAAACTTGAATTTTCAAACGCGTTTTTTTTAAATTGGGTTAAGATTAGACAAAAAGTGAAAAGGACAAAAAAGGCTTAGACTTTCACCAGAATTAATATGGTGCCATTTTTTCTCCGAAATTCTTAACAAAAATTTTATCCCAAAAATGGGTCATTTTGGCTTTTTTCAGTTAATCAAGAATTACGCTGAAACTACTTTGTTAATTGATATGAAAATTACATCACAGGAAGCTTCTTACGCAGTTCAACAAAGTTTATGAAGGGTTAAATTTCCAAAAAATCGCGCAAATTGTTTAAAATTTATTTTTTAACAGAGATTCTGGGTTTTATATAGTAAAAATCACATTTATTGACTATCAAGTGAAATTTTTTTCATTTATACTGGTTTTTGGAGATTTAACCCTTTTTAAACTATGTTGAACTGCGTAAGAGGCTTCCTGTGATATAATTTTCATATAAATTAACAAAGTAGTTTCAGCGTAATTTTTGATTAAATGAAAAAAGCCAAAACGACCCATTTTTGGGGTAAAATTTTTGTTGAGAATTTCGGAGAAAAAATGGCACCATATTAATTCTTTGAAAATTCAAGTTTTGTTCGTTTTGTCCGGATAATTTAAATCAGCACTGTACTTAATCTGAACCACTCAATGAGATAGAGCCGTAGACCGATCTCAAGGCTCGAAATTTTCCCGCAATAAAATTGTCTTTTGATAAACTAAACTGCGTCGAACACAGTTGAAACTTTTTTTCTCGGTCGAACAGGGTTAAAAATTTTTCAGTGATATCAAACAATCGAAATGCTTCTCCTAAACCAAACATGGTCAAAATGGTCGAAACTTAGGTGACTGAGTTCAAGACGGTCGAAACAAATTGAACTTTGAATGCTGGGCGGGGGGAGGGGAGGGGAGGGTGGGGGGTTACATATTCGATAAAAGGTACAAATAGTACAACAAACTGAGTGGGTGGGGCTATCTCTCTCCTCTGCATCCTCTTTTGTTCCTTGACATAATTCTCCAGTTTCCAGAACACAATTGTATATATGAGCAACATAACTGCAAACCATGCCATGGTAGAATGAGCATTCACGTGACTGAACGTTGTGAGTTTCTTCGCGAAGTCTTCATTATTCTTGTTATTGTAATCCGAGCAAACCCACACGTTCACGCCTAGAAAACATCAATAAAATTTTCTGATCTTTTGAGTTCAGTTTAAAATACAGATATAGAAGATATCTTGATTGTAGTTAAAAACCGTGCAGTTTAGCTGCCGAATTGATAGTCGTGATTTAGTCAGGCGAAAAATGTGCTTGTTCTGTTTTTTGAACGAATTATTTGATACTAACAGCCAAAAATGACCAAAACTTGCTTATCCAGTTTTTTTGGAAACTGTAATTTAACTTTTGCGAGAAAAGAGTCAACATTTTTGTCACCGACACAAATTCGACACAAATTTGGCAAATCAAATAAAGCTTCAAAGATGATGTTCTTTTTAAATACGAACTTTTTCAGCGGTAAACTTCAATATCCTAGTTCTTCATTTCTTAAATTTTGGCTGTATCTCTTTGGTATTGAAAAAATTATACTTTTTTCAATTTCGAACAAGGAACTTTCGAAAGCAAGTTTTAATTTATGCTTGGGCCAAAAAGCTCTGAAGTAAAACGCTCTCCCAATTTTTTCAAGTTTTGTTTTCATAGCTTTTTGAAAGTCAGAATCTTCAAATTGTTGAAGTATGCAAATGTTTCTGTAAAGAAAACGAATAGTTGTTAACTTGAATTGTAGCAACTGTTAGGCATTAAATCGAAATCTTACTGCACTATTTTATTTCAGATCAGATCGGACGTTAAAGATCGCAAGGTCAGGACAGCAGGTCTCCAGACAGAAAGAAAACAATTGATAGCACTTACATAAACTTAAACTGGTCCCTATCTCATTCGGGCAACCACAAATAAATTTTAACTTGTATAAAATTTATCAACTCGTATTTTCTATTGTTTTAGTTTCATGTTACAAACAGTTTCAGTTTAACTTGAGTTTTCAGGCAGACTTGCCAAACCTCTCTTTAAGGTTTTCTTCGCTCTATGTCATGTTACTTGTCTTGTATGCGATGAATCATGATACCCCCCATTTTGTCAACGCCTCGTCGCTGTCGCGTTGATTTTCTTGTCCCCGCCGCGCCTTGTTGTCGATTTCCACCGACGGTTTTCGGCGTTCGCTCCTTATCTGTTTCCGACGGTTCAATTACTCCCCCGCTAGCCGCAGTCTTTGCCGCCTCGTCCGCTTCCACTGTCCAATCGCTGTCTTCATCCTCCTCGCTCTCGTCCTAGCTATATTCCACTATTCGCTGTTTCACTGATTTTTTCGCCTTTCCCTTCGCGATTTGTTCCTTATCAGCCTTTCTTTTAAATTTCGTGGGTTCAATAGGACCCGGGGTACTCTTTGCGGGCTCACTTGGACCCGGGGTGCTCTTTGAAGGCCTACTTGGACCCGGGGTGCTCTTTAGGTACTTGCTAGGACCCGGGGCGCACGCGTCGTTCATATCTGTGATTTGGCCTTCTTCAGCCGCCGATCTAAAAGAAACACCACTTCGCCTCAATAACGACCCTTTTTCCTTTTGCACCGTATGATCAGTTAATTTTTCAATTTTCAATGGTAAACGTTTATACCTTCTTGGATCCTTTGGGTCTGTTTTCCCTGTCTTTTGGTAGACTGTTGTGGTGCTAGTCTTTTTCCGCTTTAGCCATCCTGGTGGCTTTGGTACTCTATCCGCTACCTCCGTGACCTTTGGGTCAGTTTCATTTATCTCCAAATCGTCCAAAATCCTTGGGGTTTTTCTCTGCTCTGGTGCGTATACTAGGTCGCTCCTCTTCTCCCAATCTAGGGTCAGCTCCACCTCCGGGAGATTGCTCGCCTTGTCTAAACAAGATAGCTTCTGGTTAACAACATTGTCCCAATTTAGGTTTTTCAAGGATGGTTTTTTCGTTAAGTTTCGAAGCGCCGTATTTGCTTCTCTTCCATGATATACCTCAAAGGGCGTTAGCTTAGTTTTGGAATGTGGCACAAAACGTAATGCGCTGAGCGCGCGGGTGTGCTGGAGCTGCCCACCCATTCAAAGACATTGTCACCGCTACTTTTCCCAGTATGTTTATTCGGTTGTTTTTGTAGTCCAAAAATTCATCTTTTGAAGGTTTTAGTTGAATATTCGCTTTACCTAATGTTGTTTTCAGATCCGTCATGCTGAATATGTTACTGGGGATCCGCTATCTATCCACAACCACATTTTCTTCCCCGACACCTCAATCTGGACTCTGGCCCCATGGATCTTCAGTTCGGTCACATTTCTCTTCTTCTTGATTGACATCACCATGTAGTCGTCGGATCCCGATGTGACTGAATCATTATCCCCTCTTCCCTGCTGATTCACCCATGCCACTGGATCTTCTGCTCCCTCACTCACACTCTGCATGCTTTGATCATGCTCGTTTTCGTCTCGGACTAAACCAACTCGTCCTCGTCCTCTCCATTGGTTAGTACCCCTTCGGATTCCTCTACATGTTCGTTCAAAATGTCCCAGTTTTCGGCACGAGTTACATGTGGCTCCTTTCGCAGGGCAGTTGGCAATATGATCAAGAGTAAAATTCGGTGCGTCACAATTATAGCATCTACGGTTATTTTCGCTCCCCCCACTACTTGATCCTTGGGAGTATCCTCCACGTCCCCCGCGACCTCGACCTCGGAAAAATCCTTGTCCCCTCCTTATGTTATTAACTGGTTCTTGTTTAATAGATATCGACGGCGCTGATGAAGCCGGTTTTCCCGTGTATTATTTATATGCACGCTCCCCACGTTCGTAAGATAATGCGATCCTGTAAACTTCCTCGGGTAGCTTTGTTGATCTAGATAATTCTCGTTGACAGTCCGATTGTCGCATGTTCATAATAAAAATATCCCGAACGTTTTCCCCTGCATTAGCAAAATCGCAACTATCCGCTAGGGCGCTCAATTCCGCGTGGAATTCCTCGAAGGTTTCGTTCTCCCTCTTCTTTCTTCCATAGAAGAGTCCCCGCTCATGGGTTACATTCCGCTCACGTTGAAACCCATTTTCCATTTCGTCAAGTACCCGTGGGTAATTTTCCGTTTTATTTTCACCCCCGGCTTTCGTGCGTTGAAAAATCTCTGCGCCTCATCTCCAATACAGAGATAAAGGTTAGACTTTAGCTTCTTTTCCGACTCGGTACGATTCTTCCCATTTACGTCATCTGGCAACGCTGCAATAGCCGCTGCGTTTAAAGTACGTGCAAAATAAAAATCATCGAGATCAATATCATATTTTGCGATCATTCCCCAGTGAAATTTTACAATCCATTCCTCCCAGTAAATTGGGGGTTCTGGTGTTCGTGCGTCCCAAAATGACTGAATGTTCAGTGGATTTTTTCCTCCTCCTTTTTTCTCTGCTGGCTGCGCCATGTTGAAGTGTGCAAATGTTTATGTAAAGAAAAAGAATAATTGTTAACTTGAATTGTAGCAACTGTTAGGCATTAAATCGAAATCTTACTGCACTGTTTTATTTCAGATCAGATCGGACGTTGAAGATCGCAAGGTCAGGACAGCAGATCTCCAGACAGAAAGAAAACAATTGATAGCACTTACATAAACTTAAACTGGTCCCTATCTCAAAATGTTAAAACTAAGCATTGAGAAAAATGAAAACCAGTTTTACCAACTTGTAGAAGCTACAAACCGTTTTCGATCGGTACAACAATTAATTCGGTTTCAAACTGTGTTATGATCAGATTTGGACTCAAATTGACCAAAAAAGTTGTTCGAAGTTAGCTGAAAAATTTAGACAAAAATCTGAACACAATAATTTTGTTTTTGAGCTCCAAAAAGAAAATTAGAAACAAAATAATTTAAGAATAGTTCGCGATTAATTGCAAACATGGAACAAAACTTTTAACAAAGTTTTCCATTCATTTTTTGCAAGACAAAAAAATCTGTCCTTCGTTTGACAGAAAACCAGCGAAAAAAACTTCTCATATTTTGTTCAATTTTTGACAGGCATTTTTGACAGGCGACTCGAGATTTTGAGTATTTTGGTTCAGTTTTGGCTTTTTTCTGGCGCAAGCTTTTTTTACTTTTTCAAAAGATGAATTCAAAAGAATTTCAAATTGATCTGTTTGTCTTCGCCAAATGTTTTTTGTTCTAAATTTGTACTGAAACTTTGAATTTTGTTAGCTCGAAAACTTACCGCCAGATGTTTTCACTTGGTGAAACTGGTTGCGTTCTCAAAAAGTTTGGGTTCAGATTTGAATGCTTCTCGTCGATCTCGTATCCAAGTCAATTAAGTGGATCAATTATAATGCATTTTTGAGGTTTAAAAATATTACAAATTAATCATTCCTTATGTTGCCTTCGGGCAAAAAATGGATTATAATAATGAACTTTTTATCATATGTGAAATTTACAAAAATCGATTTGAAAACTATTCTAAAAACTTTTCCAATTTTCGTGCATCGAACAATAATTTGCGACGATTTCTACTTTTATCATTGAACTATTCAAATTGCAAAACAATTCCGCTCACGAATCTAGTGCGATTCAGTTTTTTTTTAATGAGAAAACAAGTCAAAATGCCAATTTTGAAATTTTTGAAAAAATTTGCGCTTGATCTACCTTAAAACTAGTTGTACAAAATACTTAGAAACGCATGTGTTTGAATAGATAAACAACAAACGTAATCTAACAAAACGTTAATAAAAAAATATATTTATTTATCTATAGTTTTGTTTTTATAGAATTTGACAATAAAATGACTTATGTTTATCCATGGAATTCCTGTGCGGGTTGTAATGAACCTTTATTTTCAATTAAGTTGAACATTTGTCTACGTATCAACTGAAACAGAGGTTTTTTCTTCCAAACCTAATTTGATTTTAAAAATTCCATTTTTTCCTCAATTTTGAAACAAAAAAATAATTTACATGTAAAAACACAACATTCTGGCCTTGTCTATTCAATTCGTTTGGAACTTTTGTCAACCTGTGGCCCGACAATCAATTGTTAAGAAATTAAAAGTTACTGATTTGGTAAATAGGAAAATCTACTATCTTGTTTAAGAGCCAAAAAGCTTACAACTTTATCTGAAATAAAATGCAGTATATATATTTTTTAAAAAGTATGGCCAAATTTTTTTGCAAACGTTCTTAATTCTTTTTTTCTCAAATTGAGTGAAAGTTGGGAAGAAGTTCATGAGAACAAAAGTTTTACAAATTGATCAGAAATACAATGATGTATAAGTTTTTGAAAAGTGAAGAGGACCAAATATTTAGCGTAGTCCAACAAAAATTAAGAACTGTGAAATGTCTAAAAAATGTATAAGTTTTTTTCTGACTGATAGTTAGAATAGACAGTTTTGTGAACAAATCGACTTCTTTTATTTGAAATTGCTTGGTAACAGCTCCAAAGTTTTCAGTTAGCCTACAATTTCTTGGCTTGTTGAGTTGCGTAAGTTACTCTACTTGAAGTGATTGTTCTGACTTTCGAAGAAAACGGAAATTTCATGCTTGGTGTGGTTTTTTCTTTCAGTCATTTTTTGCCGATCGAAATAATAGTTTTTAACAAAAAAACTTCTATACTCCATTGAAGATATTGACTTTTTGAGTTCAAATATAAAAGAATGTTCTACCTCCGATCATTTTTTAGAAAACTTCTGGGAGTTTGCAAATTGTCAATTTGTCAAAATTTTCTTTTCATCATGCTTATTTATGCGTGGCGAATAATCCCGCACAACAAAATTGTTCGTACGATTCGAATTTGATCTTCAATATTGTCCATAATTTATAGATTTTTTGTATTGTTTCCCAAAAACTATTCGATATGGTAGGAAAAAGAGCCTTTATGCATACTGATGACGGGGATTGTGCCAAGAAGCCATGCTCCCAGGATGGCCACTGCTGCCACGTGCTTGCCCTCAAACAAGGAGTACCTCAGAGGCCACATGATGAAGATGAACCTGAAACAAAAAAAAATTTTAAATTTATAGTATAAACTTTCTTTCATGACAGAGAACGTCATTAGAACACTGACCCATTTTTAACTGCATGATATGTAAAATTTTGAAAAAACAGGCCAATAAAGGCGTTTTTAGGCATTTTTTGGAAAGTTTTAACCAGAAAAATTGCGTTTTTTCGGCGAGCGCTCCCCCCTCAAAGTTAGTATATACTGGCGCCAAAGGCGCCTTTAGAAAAATTTTAGGGTCCCTCGCCAAAAATGGGTATCTCGAAATAGTACAAAGGGGGACCCTTTGGGTCGGCAGGGGTTCGAATCCCTGAGGGAGAAAGCGTCCGAACCCCCATCCCCCCACGAAATCCGCCCCTGAATATATATTCAAATTCAATAAATCAATACTTTTTGCACCGAACTTTCTCTGTGTTTCCAATATCGAACTACTTTAGACAAATACAAAACGCACTGGTAAAACTAAGAGTACTATCGATTTACATCAATGTTAAATCAGTTTTATTCTAATTAGGATCTGAAATAGATTTTAACCCGACGTAAATCGATCTATCTTAGTGCTTATAAAATCAACTTAAAATAATTTGGGTGGATTTTGGTAGTTACTAAAATCGCCTCTTTTTCATTAGATACTCATCGGACGGAACACTTTAAGTTTCTTTGGATGTCAAAAGATCAATTTTGTAACCCTATACAATCTTCAAAGTTATTTAGTTATTGTTCCGACTTTCAAGAAAATTTTTATGCTTGTTGTGGTTTTTTTTTCAGTCAATTTGCGGCAATCGAAATAAAAGTTTTTTATAAAAAATTTTTGTACCATTGAAAAAATCGACTTCCTAAAAGCAAATTTAAAAAATATGTTTCTTCCGATCATTTTTTGCAAAGTTTTGGGAATTTGAATACTGCCAATTTGGCCATGCTCTGGACTGCTTTATGCGCGCTTTGTAGTTTTTATTATTGATCCTGAAAGCGTAACCCGAACTTTTTATGCGTGGCCAGTAATCCCGCACAACAGAATCGTTCCAAATTGAGTTGAGGATAGCTAATCGGTCTTATTAATTTTTACATTTGATCTTTGATGTTGTCCAAAATTGAGTTTTTCAATTTTTGTTTTCCCAAAAACTATTCGATATGGATTATGGGGCAGTCGAAACATTCAGGTCTTTGCCCTGATATACTAGCAGTCTTGTTACTGTTCCACCGAGATTGAACAAAAACATGAACTTAGGGAAAAAATCAGCTTTAAATCAGTGAAACTTTCATCTATGAAAAAGTCGCCGTCAGTTCTAAATCAGTGAAAACTTAAAAATAGAAAAAATCTCCGTCAGTGTTAAATCAGTAAAAAAAAATGATCTTTGGAAAAATCTCCGTAAGTGTTAAATCAAGGAAAATTTGAATTATAAAAAAAAATCCGTCAGTGTTAAATCAAGGAAAAATGCCCGCAAAAGTTAAGTCAGTAAAAAATCTACTGTTAATTCACACACAGGATAATTGTTAACCATAAATCATTAGTTTCAGGTAATTCTTTATGCAGTTTGCGATCTAAGCAAAAAATTTTCAAATGTCATTCTTGAAATCAATCTTTTCAGTCCATTTTCTAAAACGAATCAAGAAAAAAACCAAAACTAAACTGGACACAGTTAATTTTGCTTCAAGATTTGCGCACCCATTTTTTTCATACTTTCCCTTCAAGACAATCATCTGCATAAAAAAATAACTGAAAAAGTTTTTGAATTTTTTTAAATTACTCAGTTTAATTAAAAAATACTATTATTTTAAAATTATTATTCTGATGCGCATCAACTTGCATCTCAAGCAAGGTGGTCTTAGGTTTTTTGGAAATTGTCTCCAGATGACTTGCCAAAATGGAAAGGTTTTGACAAATGAAGTTGAATATAGTTGTAGCGATGGGTGACATCATTTCATATGGATGCCAATTCAAAATCGCACCTGAGTTACCATATAACGTGATATAACGGCTAACCAGTTCAAGAAAATCCTAAATATTTCTGTATAAAACTGTAAATGCAAAAAAACTAATGAAAACCAAGTGAACACTTTGAGAACGTAAAAATAACTGTATAACATATAGCTAAAAACGACAAACAGAAGATCAAAAATAGATAAATGTATTTTTAAAAGAAATCAAAAAAGAAATTACACTGCGGATAAACAGAATTTTAAGGAAGTTGAAAATGGAAAAAAAAGTACTTTTTTTTTTCAAAAATACCACCACCAAAATGATGAATATGAGTTTCGTAACATCATTTGAAAACGAATCTTGCTAAATCGTGATTGGCTATTATGAAGTTGACCAAAAAGCTGTGTTTTGTTTTTTTTAAACTCTGTTGAGGCAAAAAAATTTTGTTTCTGTAAAATTCATTTGATATCAAAGTGAGGCATTGAAAAGTTTTTTAATCCGTATAAATTTTCAGTGTTGTTATGAGTTCTTGAATTTATTTGTCTAGCAGTTGGTCTTTTTATGCTCATCTTGGTGAGGTATTCAGACGAAATTATGTGTCTTAGTATATTGACAAAGTTTTTAGCTCTACTTCTCAAAGAGTTAAAAATCAGTAGCACTGTTAAGATGATAACACTCAGATGAGCGCTTTAGCGTCACAAACGTTTCACTAATGATATTGAGATTAGAGTCAATGGTAATACCTAAGTAGTTGAGCTGATTTTCATTTCGAATTACAGCTTGATTCAATTCAAACTTAAGGTTTAGTTTAGGTTTACTTTTTTTGGAAGACCTTAATTTTTTTGTCAGTAATAAGAGTACGTGTATTGTTCTCCAGCCACTCAATAGTCATGTCTTATGCTTGTGATGTTCTTTTTGTACAATATTTTCAGAAGTGGCCGTTAAAATTGCAGTATAAAAGTATCAAAGTTCTCTTTGTATTTTTTTTGTTCAGGATCTAAGTCAGTTTTTTAGTTATCAGTTTCTATGAAGAAAGCATCTTTAAATAATTTTAATCATTTAAAACTGGTTTATAATGGTAATATATTTTATACAGGTATAATGCATTGCAGTCAGTTATAGTCAAGTTTTCCTGAATCTGATAATTTTTTTTTCAAATTTAAAATTAGTTTCAAAGTGATCTCACTTGCCATTTAGTTTAATTGATTTACATTACATTTCATACTTTTTAAGTTTTAACATTTTCAGCAAAACACCGAAGGCGCCTTCAGAAAAATTTTAGGTTCAGTCAGCCAAAACTGAGTAGCTCAAAGGGTCGGCAGGTGGTCGAATCCTTATAAGAGGGCGTCCACCCCCCTCCTCTAAATCCGCCCCTGATTTAAACTCTTTCCAAAAATAAAACACAAAAAAACCATCATGGTCTCAATAAACGAAAAATATTCGAACATCTATCTTGTCAAAAGGTTTTTTTTTCGGAATTCGACCTCCTGCCGACCCAAAGGGTCCCCCCTTCGGTTCTATTTCAAGACCTCCATATTAAATGACCGACCTCAAACTTTTGAAAAACTGGCCCCCTATAATTTTTTCTAAAGTTTAATTTTCTGTTTAAAAAGTTTTTTTTCTGTTCTAAACTGCAATAAAACGTGTAATCGATTACACGTTTTATTGCAGTTTAGAACAGAAAAAAAAACTTTTTAAAGAGAAAATCAAACTTTAGAAAAAATTATAGGGGGTCTGTCATTCAAAAATTTGGGGTCGGTCATTTAAAATGGATGTCTTGAAATAGTACCAAGAAGGGACCCCTTGGGTCGGCTGGAGGTCGAATTCCGAAAAAAAACCTATTGACAGGATACATGTTCAAATATTTTTCGTTTATTGAGACCATGATGGTTTTTTTAGGTCAATCAGACTTAAACATGGCGTTTGATCAATTCTAATGTTTTCCTACATGGCGTTTGAAAACTTCTGCTTATTGCTCACCTGTCGACAGCCACCAGCAGCATATGTGACATCTGGCACGAGATGAGGGCCATCTGGAAGTAATCCAAATTGCACATCCAGGGAACCAAAGGGGTTTTCTGTAAAGCCCAACAGAAAAAATCCCCGTTAACAATAAAACTTTACTTTCGACGGTCTGCGCACAATGATTTTTATGTGTGTGAAGTCGTCCAATGATTATCTTAATTGTATGGACAAAATCAACATCGGAAATTTTTAAAATGCATTTTTTTTTCAACAGTGATTTTATTTAAGCTAGGTAACAGGCTCATTATAGTAATACTAGATCAGAGGCTGACCTGGTGGTTTTGGCATAACTTTATAATTTTTGTTTGATTAAAAAGTGCTAGTATGACCCACTTTGGGGCGAAATTATTAGTCGGAATTTTGCAGAAGAAACTAAATTATAGTTAATTTTCAAGCTTTTTTCTCATAACGCGTTGAAAATTTTTAATTTGATTTGTTTTATCCGGAGAATTTAAATGCCCATCGTATGTTTGTGTGTATGTTTGGATGTATTAGTTATTTTCCAATGGCTTGTAAAAAAACTAACCTTATTAAAAGTTATTAGAACATCTCTCGGAATCCTGTAGACTGTTTCGTAGAGTAGGAAAGTGACTTCACTGACACTGAGACTGCACACGAGTAAGTTGTGAGTCTTTCTCAGGTAAACATACTTGTACACACACACTATCACAACACAGCCGCCCGAAATTCCCAATATCTAAAAGAAATATTTATACTAATGTGTGCCTTTTTTTCTAATGGTTCACTCTCCTGCTTCGTGGAAAAACTGGTTCTCGTCTGCAGTTTCATGTATCATTTTTTAAGAACTTATTTATCCATCTGTTGAGTTTTCGCAGAACAGTATCATGAGCTGCAGAACAGCAAACAAATCGTTCCAAATTGAATTGAGGCAAGATATTATGTGTTTTTAAAATGTTAATAGACTTCAAAAACATCACTTTGTATTTGGCACGGCGTGTTAGGAACAGTTTTAAAAAAAGATTCATTGAAAAAAATACAATTAAAATTTTTCTTTTTAATTGATTTTTTCACAATAGTTTCAAAAAAATTCAAAGGCAGTCTGAACATCAGGGCTTCGTCCTTATACGAGCAATCTTGTTCCTACTAATATTATCCAAAGTATTACAAATTTTATATTTTCTTGTAGCCATAATAAAAACGTTCCGGTTAATCCGATTAACAAAGAAGCTATAATGTTAGATGAGGTTTAATGATGCTATATCGTAATAAAGGATGTTCGATACTATATTTAAAATGTCCAAAAAATAAAAGTGTTTATTTTACAATTTAATTGTTTTCGAGGTAGTCAAAAATCAAATTGAGTGTACCATACACTTTAGAGCACAGGTTTTGTTTTTGGTAAGAACTTCAACCATTTGTTTTCATATCATTTCTTTTTTTGCCACTATTGCGATTAAACATTTATGTGCTCTTCTTTGGACATTGGAAGAACGTACAAAAAACACAGTGTTGGTGTAGCTTTTTGAGACCAATTCTTACAAATTAAATAACAAAGGAACATTTTTTATGCCATTTGAAAGTACTTAACTCTGAGCTCATCATTAAAAATAAATATCAACTGTGATATTTTTTAGAAGTTTTAGGTCAATCATTAAAGTGCACAAAATTTCAATTTCCTATTTGGTCAGAAAAAAAGTTTCGGGGGATCATTAATGCGCTTAATATTTCATTTCCTATTTTGTATGCTAGGTTGCGCCTAAGGAAAGATTGTCAACAAATTGAAAACCAAAAAAAAAATTTTATGATGCTTTTTTCCGATGTGTTTTCCAAAAAAGTGTCTTTTTTTAGCATCTTTCGTTACTCGATGAAAATTCAAAAACTCAAAAACTTCGAGTGCGGTGATAAATAGACTTCCAATGAAGAATTTTGTTTTCATCCAATTTCGAGAATGCCTGCTTAAAAATTTGAAAACAAATCTCAAATATTTCATCTGGCAAAAAATGACTTTTTTTACTACAACAGCTTTTTTCTTCAAAAAATTTTATTTTCTGCAGATTTTGTTGTTTTCTGAGCAACTTCTCAAACGATAGGCATGGATTTTTGACATGTGGTTGATAAAACTATTTAAAAGGATTCATCGTTTGAAAAATATCAAAGGGGTACTTTGAAAGTGACTATGGTGAAACTTTTTTTTTGTCGAATTAAAACAGTTGCAACCAGGGCCAGATCGTAACTATGGTTATCTCGGGTGGCGGATTTTCAAAAAAAAATCGGAAAAGTTTGCCGACCTTGTTTTTTTGGGTCGATCAATTTGATTTTCCGAGCTCTCCCAAATCATGATAAACACCTAATTTGGTCAAATTTTAAGCAAACTTAAAAACTTCCTGATACTTCCTCAAAAAAATACCCACTCCTTCTCCTACTAAACCAGCCCTGAGCTCACCTGTAGAACAAGTCTGGCTACTATGAACAGACATTTGATGAGATCCTCCGTGCCAAACTCATGATTCAGTCCTGCCTCGGAAAATGATGAGTTCGAGTTGTTAATCCGCTCCTGCATCACTTCTAGCTCCTGGCTGTAATCCATATTTATTCTTTTTTTCTTCCGTAAAGATGTAATTATTACTGGCCTAGAATAAGAACAAGTTTAAGCAGCTTATCCAGCTATGGGGAAGAATGCTATATTATATTAGCAAAATTAGATTAGCAAATCTGAATGCTTTTAATTACTTTTTTCACTATTCTTACTCTTTCTAAATTGAAGTAAATTGGAGGAATGATAAAGGAGTCGATGAAAGTTATTTAAAATTTGGCTTAATTACCATCTTCTTTCTTACCCTTAATTGAGCAGATGGTTTTTTCACGGAGTATAGGCTATATAGGCTTTTTTAATTGGTTGAAGCAAAATGAGAGGAATTTAACAAATTTAAATTTTGAAAGCTGTTTAGATGTTATGAAGTTGCAACAATTAATTTTTTCTCAAATTTGAATATGGAAATTTTAACAACAACTTATTGTTAATGATAAATTTGTTGGAGCTACAGTGCTGATTTAAATTAACCGGACAAAACTAACAAAACTTGAAATTTCAAGCGCGTTTTTCTCCAATTGGGTTAAGATTAGAGAAAAACCAGGTGAACAAAAAATGCTTAGAGTTTCACCAGACTTAATATGCTGCAATTTTTTCTCCGAAATTTTCAACCAAAAATGTACCCCAAATATGGGTCACCTTGGCTTTTTTTAATTAATCAATAAGTACGCTGAAACTACTTTGTTATTTGATGAGAAATATATATCACAATAAACCTTTTACACAGCCGAACAAAGTTTTAGAAAGGTTAAATCTCCAAAATTTTGACCAAATTATTTAAAGTTTTATTTTATGCAAAAACTTTGGGTTTTATGTAGTAAAAATCACATCTATTAAGACTATCAAGCAAATTATTTTCTTTTATACAGGTTTTTGGAGATTTAAACTTTTCTGGAACATGGTTGAACCGTGTAAGAGACTTCTTGTGATTTATGTTTTTCATCCATCATCAAGGTCAGGTAGTTTCAGCGTAATTCTTGATTATTTAAAAAAAGCCAAAATGATCCTTTTTTGGGGTAAAATTTGGTTGAAAACTTTGGAGAAGAAATTGTCCCTTTATTTTATTCTGGTAAAATTTTAAGCAACTTTTGAACCCTCCACTTTTTGTCAAACCTTAACTCAATTTGGGAAAAACGCGTTCGAATATTCAAGTTATGTTCGTTTTGGCCGGATAATTTAAAACAGCACTGTATCAGATGTTTTTAGAACAAAAGTTAAAATGATCATCTCCCTTTTTTCTGTATATCACAAGATTTTGTACCAATGTTTGAAGTTTTAGCGGAAAGACTATTGTAAATATTTTTGCGTAAATAACGGTTGTTATCAATCTTTTGATATTAAGTCAAAATGGCTTACAATTTTGATACTGGATGTAAGAAAATACCGATTGATTCCGAACAATAACTATAAAAACTCAGTGAGGGTATCCTGGATTTAAAAAGATATCCCTTTTGGCTGTAAGAAACAAAACAAAAACTAAAACCTTTGTTGTTTTGTTGTTATGATCATACATAAACAAAATGATCTCTAACGCTACTGACGTCTTTGAATTTTGATATTTGCAGTGTTTCTTTTCAGAAAAACGATAGCTTTGAGTGTAAATGTTTATGAAGATGAAACGTGTCAGGAAAACAGCCTTTCCACTTCTTCTTTTTTGGTAACAATTATCAATATGAACGTCATTTATTATAAAAAGTCAAAATGCGCCTTTTGAAAAGTAAAAAATTCGACTTAAAAAGGAACTGGTTGCTTCGCAAAAAAACCATATGAAAAAAACTCCAAAGAATTCTTAACAAGACTAATCTTATATCAGGAAAAAGCTCTTTAACTGGCCTCGAACAGTTTTTTTTGATAAACATTGAAAAACTATGAATTTTGAGCTGATATTATCAAAACATTAAAATGGAGCTGCATTTGAAAAAAAAAATTCGACAAATAAGCTTGCTTAAGTTCAATTTGGAACGATTTGGTAGTGCAGGGCAATTCGCGTTACACTTTCAGCATCAAAATATTAAACTAGCATGCAGACTGGTTTAGGAGCTAACGTAACGTCAAGATAGTATGGTGGTGTTTACACCCACCAGCGGACCACGAAGATCGTCGGATCGACTCACTCACACAACAAATGTTCTCAAGATACTAGTCTGAATAAAAAAAAACACCCAAATAACAACCCTGAGAATCGCTATAAAAAGTTAACACCATTTTTCAATTTTTTCTAAACTTTTGGTTGTTTTCTCTGGCAGGGGACTTGATTGAATAAAATATAACAATTCACAAGAAGCTACTTAGACGGCAAATCTTCAAATGCAGGAATTTTTCCTTGAGATACTTGCCAATTCACCTGTGGATTTTTAGCCGGAAAAATTCTTGTTTTTTGTTTTTTGTTTGGACAGAGCAGAAAAATGTAGGTCAAAACTCTATATTTTGCGAACTTATATGTTTGGGAAAACGTTTATCATAGGTTTGTTTGGAAATAATTGCATACGTATGGTATTGTGAAGAAACTGTAAACAAGTTTTTTTCGATCACTGAAATTGAGGGGGGGAAGTTGTCATCGTTTATGTTTCAGTTGTTTTTATACTCTTTTTTTTCCACGCAAACCTAGGTGCCACAAAAATTATCGAAAGAGAACGAGCGTTGTATCAAATTAAAGCCCTCTCAGAAATATACTATCAAAAAAGTTTCACAGTTTCAAGAAGAACCGGTTTTAAACTTTTAGTGTAGTTTCGAGAAAATTAAGCAAACGATGAGGTATCAAAAACTAACTTTTGAAGCTTCATTTCGAGATTATTTGGCAATTTAGAAAACCCTAAAGTTATTCTGCAAAAAAATACAAAATTTTTAGATCTTTTATTTTTAATTTTTTCATTGATTTGTTTGTTAATCACATTTCGAAGACAACTGATGTCAATTTGGCCTGAATGACTATTTTTCGACGCTTTTTTTGAGTTTTCTCGTCAATTCAAGTATATTTATTTTATTAAATATATATCAAAAAAAATCTTATGGTTGAACTATACTGTTAAAAACACAAAATAAGTTAGTAGATTAATATGTATATCTCTATTAAATATATATCTGAAAACCGAATCAGTTTGTTCGATTTTTCTCAACCCCAAGTCCAATTTTTTTGAGTTTTTATTGAATCAATTTCAAGAGAGCATGCAATTTTGTTAAAAAAACTATTTTTGATGCTGTGCGAATCCAAAAACTGATAAAACAAAAGTTCCCTTCTGATAAAATTTTAAAAATCCCATTCCGGTCAAACAGGGTTTATTTTTGCTCGAACTAAACTTTGTGAATTTGCAAAAATTTTATTAAAACTTCCCTTTCAGCCACAGAAAATTCTACATCTGCCACCGTCGTCATCTTTTACATTAAACATTGTAGGTTGGTCTCACTACAATGGGTCTGGCTCACAGAAACTTTTTACAATTAAAAAAAGGCATTTGATTGCCAAATGACTTTCTCGATTTCATTTATAATAACCATAATGAACTGTTTTTGGGTTAAACCAAAAAATAAAGTCAAAATTTTTGTAATCAATACTGTTTTTGTAGTCAAAAATTTTGTCATTGTTTTTTAATAATATAGCATGACTTTGGTACTACGCATTCGATTGTAATCCATTATAATCCATTATTTTCAAAAAAAAATAAATTGATATTAAACCATTATCACGAGTTATAACCTGTTTTTATGATAATCTGTGTTTTAATCAATTTGGATTCGAGACCAATTAAAGAGCAGTAAGAATATTGAAGGTTTTGTCCTGATCTCTGATACGAGCAGTCTTATTTTGTATTTAGCAAAGTATTAACTAGACCAAAGATCATGCCTCAATCCATTTTGGAACAATTTCTCAGACATATTAAATCTCCCCTTACACTTTAATAGCACGAAATATATAATTGTCCCAAATTGGCCGGATTGGTAATATTTGAACCCCATGTTCCGTTGGTTTCTTCTAAAGTCAGATTAATTAACCATTGCAACGTTTAAATTCTGATTGTATACGGAAATGTTTTTGAAAACCCAGGCTCTTCATCAAAAACAATTATAACCTATAGTAATACTGCTCGTTTATCAGGACCAAAACCGCGCAAGTTCCGACTGCACCTTAACTGTTCTCGAAAAATTTATGATCAAAAACATTTTGATAGACTATGAGTGGAAAAGAAAGTACTAAATTTTGCATAGAAGTAAAATGATCAATTATAGTTGGCTTCAATTCAGTTTGGAACGAATATGAGTGCGGATAAGTTGCCACGCAGAAATAATTTGCGTATTCAATTTATCGAAATCCTATTTGAGCAGTTATGCCCTCCGCATTTTATTCTAGTGCATGCATACTTGCTTGACAATTCAAAAACTTTGGATCGATACCCATAATCTGGTGAGTTTTGTAAAATTGGTCTGAATTTGAAAAAAAAAACACCTCAGGCATTATACTCCTCAATTTCTTCAAAAATTGGAACAAAAATCCATTATAACTGACTATAATGGATAATAATGATTTCTACTTTGTTTGAGTTATCCACAATTATTTTTTCATTATTATCGATTTGCTTAGATTTTTAAGTAGACAGGCCATGAAAATCCATTTAATCATATTTTTATCCATGGAACCTCATTGCGGGACGCCAATAAATTTGATCCATTTCAAATCAAATTTAAGGTTCCCAAAAGATATCTACAAGACTGCTTCTGCTTTTTGCAAATGTACCAGAAAAAAGGGACCAGACCATGTTAACATCTTCTCCTCCCCCCCCCCCCTACTTGATTCTAGTGGGAAACTTCAGCCAATCAGAGTCAATCATTGTACATTTGTACATGCAGCGCCTAGCGAAACTAATTTAGGTTGGAAGATATTAACTTAGTCAATCTGGGGGGGGGGGGGGGGGGGGGAGGATGTTAGCTTATGTTAGCTTAATCCCGTGATAAAGAATCAATCTGTTGACAAAACATTGCCCTAGTCAGTAGTAATTGAAACGATTTATTGAAAAATTAGTTTACTGGCTGTATGAGTTATTAAAA